CAAATCATCAGCTGATCGATATTTAAATTTCAATAACTAAACTTTCAACTGCTTCACCTAATAATTGAATTTATTCGTTCTGTGACTGACGACTGAGATACGAAACCTAAAGTAATAATATGATATGAGCTTTGCTATCCGCTAACTATAGAAAAAGATATCATACCTGATATTTTTCTAATTTCATTTTGAGAAACCAATCATTAAATACCTGATTATTTCGACGTTGTAGATAAACTAGTTGAACAAAATTACCTATTAATAATAAAATATTTAGTTAAAATAGTGGAAATTGTCTATAAAATTTTCATTTGAAACCTTCACATTCTGGATTTCGCCGAAATGCTAATCCTTGTCGTGCAAGATAGCGAGCTGAATCCAGTAATGTAGCAATTACTTGTTTATTTAATTGTAGGATCATTTCTTGCTCTTGATCTTCTTTCATTCGATTACTATCAAGCATTAGATCAACATGAAGTTTTTTATTCTTGAAATTTAAATATCGATCAGCTGATGATTTGTGTGATGCAGATGAAAAATGTTGCTCAAGTTTACCTTTATGAAAAAAATAGAAACAACCGATTAAAAGTTTATGCTAGATAGAGCTGTTAAGCACACTCTTATCTACCTTTCTTTTTAATTCCTTGACTTTTCATCTTATTCCAAGTTGCTACACCATTTGAAACCCAAGCATCTGTATGTTTTTCACTTCCTGGTCCTAAAAAACAAGAAAATATCGTTGTCATAAATCAGAAAAGGGTTCAGATTAATTTTACCATCAGGAAATAATCGGCACGTAAAGCAGAAAGCAGAATCTCTTTTAACACTATATTCGAGATATGGATACTCATCGTACCATTTTGAAGCAAATTTCCATGTTTTTCCAGTTGCATGTAGTTCTCGGTTCTTCGGATATTCTTCTAATTTAACTTGTAATGGTCCTACTGAGACCAAATAACGTAATTGATTTTCACTAAATATATAACCAACATCATAATAACCTAAAATCATAGGAGAATAAGCATTATTATTTTTTAAAAGAGCCAAAAACATCCTGAACTTACCTGGATCACGATTAACCAACTCATCTTCTTTTGAATCCATTATTGTTATTTTATTTCTTTTCATTTCTGTTTCTGACATAATATCCGTACACAAAGTTTTTAAATCACTTCCAGCTTCAAGAAGTTTATCAACAAAAATTTTTGTTTCTTCTACGAAGACTTCAGGACAAATATCAATAGATGTGGAAAGCTTGATTAAATGTTGACATGAATGAAGCAATGTTTCCATAATACGTAGTTTAACTCCTATTTCATTTAAATAATTATTATCATATGGACAGTTCAGCGTTGTCGCTGTTGTTGTTGACGATTGCATGTGAGATGTACTAGCTAAATATAATCAAATGAAAGGCAAACAATGAGCTTAGAACATTATTAGAGAACTATAAAAATTACTTACCCGGTATGATAGAATTTTCTCTTTCACTGTCATCTGTATGTATATGTTCATTTGCTTCAGATGAACTTCTATTAGCAGCTACTACTCTTGCTGTTGTTGATTCTTCGACGTTTTCGACAATTCCTAACATATTCAGTTGTGCATTTGAGGTTAAATTATCTTGTGATGTTAAAGTTGATTCGGTTGTAGCTGTTTTTTCATTAGTCTTGGTTCTTTTAAAATATTGAAAAATATCATTACCAACTTTATTATTGTGATGACGTTTCGTGGATGGCGATTTTGAATGCATTAACAATCAATCAAACATAACTATTCAGTAAAGAATTACATAAAACAACTGATAGAAGAATAATTGAAATAATCTTTCAATATGCTTGATATTAATGCTTTTTATCGAAACTAACGCAGCTACTTAAATGATACAATTCCATCAACACAATGAAACAATATTCTACGATATTGCCGAGTTGACATTAAATTCAAGACAATGACAAAAGTGCAACATTCGGACTATTGATGTATTTATCTCGTCAATTATTTTCAGACATAGAAGATACAGACAATTTATCAGACAAAAAGAAAAAGAATAATTTCCATTATGTGATAAGATATGTGCTTCTTCGATCATGTTTTTCTTTCTTTCATTCGTTAGATATCGACTTTATATTTATTTTTCGTCTTCTGAATTAAGCAAAATATTTTAAAGTTTTTGAATATTGGGGGGGTGTTACACCCCCGACTACCCCCCTGTCGCGCCACCCCTGTATATAATAGAAAACAAAAACTACTCTCATTTTCTATAGATTGAAAATAATACTAAGATTTTTCAATAGATTTAGATATATTCGACAGATTATATTAATTAATTGTTAAATGTGAGAAATATTTCCTACTAAAAAAAGAATATTCAATTCTAAATTGTTTTTTATTAATTTTAATCTGATTATCAATATTGGATTGATTATTTATTCATGTTAAATATAAATGAATATATTTTATTTATAAATATATTTTATTTGAACAAAAACACGGATCTTATCAATTCTATAGATATATTTAATTAACACATAACTATTAATCAACAATTCAACAGTTTATAGAGTTCTTTTCTCTTTTTGTTTATCCATAGTTGAAATTTAAAATAATTATTGAATATCTTTAAAATAATCAATAATCATTGATCAGAATTGATCAGCTTATGTCAATAAATGAGAACGAATAATGATAAATTAAAAATGAATAAAGTTCAACTCAGTTTAACGATAGATATATCATCGGGAGTAAACGAGCTCTTTTTTATAAAATCCATATATTTCATAAAGATTTGTTTTTTTTTCTCTCACAAATCTACACGATAATATTGACATAAAATAGATTTCTATATGATCATATGAAATGTTTAAAAATGAATTCTGATAAATGGTCTGATATATATATATATTTATATCAGAAATAAACGAGTAAACCAAATATATTCGACTAGGAAATAAATAAGGAAATGTTCAACAATCAATTGAAATTATTTCATTTATCAATCAATACAAAAACAACGATCAAATCAAATATAATAGAAACAGATAATCTCACTTGAAATTTTTTTTTTTTTTTTAATTTACATAAGAAAATTCATGAATATAAGAATTATGAACACTTAAAGAGTAACTTTTAACAAAAAAAGTAAATTCTATAAAAAAAAAAAAAACGATGTTTGTTTTTTTGTTTTTAATTCTTGTTGAATAATTGAAAATAATTTGGTAAAATCTGAAAATAAAAGTTCGAATGGTATTTCCACTTTTAATATATTGCTTTGTAAGAAGTCAAACAGTAGAACGTTGTTCACGATTGAAAATATATTAACTAGAACACTTCACTAAATAAATAACTCGAGAGAAATATCTTTCGATCTCATAGGCTTTAACCATTTATTAGACGATTGAAATATCTACACCCACACATAAATTGTCTCGACAAAAAAAACAAAAAAGTTATACGTCAAGTGGAACGTACGAGTTTTGATCTTCTATTCAATTAAATTAGAATTGAATTAAAGAATTGATTAAAAAAGTAATTCCCTTCTTTTTCTATTGTCAATATATGTTAGTTGAATTAATTTGTTATCTATCGATTACCTCTTTATACTGGTAATTAAGATGTTATACATGCTTTATTAACGATGATTAACGTAGAAATGAATTTAAACCTAACATTAGAATTAATGTTAAAAAGATAAAATCGATTATTATTAAATGATCGTTTATCAACAATAATTGATATTGAATAAAATAATGTGATTATTATTTTGAAATAGAACCATGTTTACTTTTTAATTATCCTTATATACGATATAAACAAGTTAAATAACAAGCTATTTAATTTTATCAACTTTATGCAATACAATCAGATATTGTTTAATTAATTCAACCATAATTAAATAGAAAAATTCGATATTCAAATCTATGAAATAAAACGTTTTTATTATAATAATCTTAATGTAGAATGAATAGTGTTATTTAACAAAATAATTTTAATTGTAAATGATTATTAGCTAAAACAATTAAATTAACAAATATAAAACAAAGAGAACGTTAAAATTGATTTAATTATACCAATTATTGTTTATTATTTAATAATTAAATATCTTGATTTTTTTCAAAGACGAACATCTTATTTACCAACAGTTACAAATAGAACAACATAACAATGTCAAATATAGAATTCACCTGTTACAGCAACACCTGACATTTATCCTAATTGTCGTGAAAATCTTTTTCAGGTTCGAATAGAAACAAAAAACAAAAAGAATTTGTTCGCATAATTTCTACAAGATAAAAATCTAATGAAGTTAGTGAGAAAGAAATTGACTGATATAGATTTCGAGTAGAATCAATCTTAATCAGGGAGAAGAGATAGTTATTTTTAATTCAACTATTTTATTATAATCCTCCAGTAGATTTCGGACTATCGGATTCAAAATATTCCGATCCAACCCGACAGACTCTTGTTTAATGTTGCGAGTATATCTCTCATCATCGATGAGAAAAGGGAACGTGGCAACAGTGG